AACAAACTTATTGTACAATAAATTGTTTTAATCATTATAAATTATAATGAAAATAAGAAAAAAATAGTTTGTTGTATATTTTAAGCTCATTTTTTTTAAATTTACAAATTGTTTAATTTTATATTTTAATTAGTACTGATTTTATGCTATTGAACTGGGACTGTACTAAGTTGTAGAGACTTAATAATTGCTTTGATACTGGAGAAATGACAGATGCTTCGTGAAAATTATAAATTCTGAAATAATTATATTAGATTCTAAAAAAAAATATGATTTTTTACTGATTTGAAAAAAATTCAATATAAAAAAATACCATATACCCATTAGGTAAGCTATTATTCATAGCAAGCATATTTAGTATAAATTAATACTTTTATAATACATAAAATATAAGTTTATATGATATATTAAAAAATATCTGTATAATATATATACTTGTTGGAAATATAAGAAAATATAATATTCTATATATGTATATATATATCCATATATATTCTTTAAACTAATTTCAATGATATATTTAAAGAAGGACTATAAATAATAATAACATTTTTAGTAATATTAAGCCGATTTCATTCAAAAACAATTATTTAAAAAAATTTATTTATTTCATTAATTGTAGTTAATATTAATTTTTTTGTGTAATTTCAAAACCTATTAAAACTAAATAAAATTTATATATTGGTAATTATGAAAAAAAAATTTTAATTGAAATAATTTTGAGTCTATAATTTTTTAATAATAATAATAAAATAAATAATAATAAAGTAAATAGTAATAAAATTAATAATAATAATTATTATTAATAATAATAAAATATACATCAATTATTGATTTATAATTATAATTAATATTAATAATTAATTACAATTAATTATGATAATAGTATAATAATTATTAATTCATAATTATAATTAATTACAATTATTTATTATAATAGTATAATAGTAATTAATAATAATTATTATTTTTTATTATTAATAAATAATAATTATTATAATTAATAATAAGTATTATTACTAAATAAAAACTGAATAATATTTTTTTTTGTATTATAAAATATTATTATCTTTAACAGTAGTGAAAAAAAACAAAAAAATAAAAAAACTATCAATAAAAAATTAAAAGATTTATCATTCTTTCAATCATAAAAAAAAAGAAAACATTTATTTAGCAAAAACTAATAAATGTCTTTTATTTTATATTTATATTCAATAATATTAATTATAGAAAAGTGAATCTTTCTATTTCTATATTGATGGTCTTCTTCTGATTTATTTTTTAATATAGTTAACAATACAAAAATACAATATTAGACTAATTAGAATGCATGTAATACATATATATAAAACAAACACACAAACAAAAATTATATAAATGTTATAGATAATAATAATAGTAATAAAAAAAATTAAAAAGAAAACAGTTTAAAAAAATTTTTTAGAAAATAAATATATATATAAATATAAAAAATAGACAATAATAAGAATGATAATAAAATTGAAAAAAAAATGATCAAAGAGTTTTTTTTGGAAAACAGTATATAAAAATATATGAGATATAAATAATAATAATAATAATAATATTAATAAAAAAAAAAGTTCAGAGTTTTTGTGAAAAAAAGTTTCAAATATTTAATTAAAGTAAAAAAGTAATAGAAACTGAAGAATTTATACTATTTAATATTTTATTTTATATTATTTAATTTAATTTAAAAATCAAAAAAAAAACATTAGTGTATGAAAATTTAGAATAATAATAGAAAATAATAATAAAAAAAGTTATATTGGTATATACGAATATTTGTTTTTAAAATAACATAAAAAATAGAAATTTTAAATTTAAATAAAAGTTTTAAGTATTTAAATAAAATGAAAAAATTAATAAGGGGTTGATGATGAAATTTATACAATATTAATAAAAAAAATTGAATCCGGAATAAAATCATTTAAATATAAAAATATAAAAAATTTAATTAATTTTCTCTTATAATTTTCTATTATTTCTATTCAAATTCCCCTTCTATTATTAATATAAGAATAGTTATTTTGAGATATATTAACTTTAAAACTATTTAAATCAAATTATGAAAATAATTGTTTTTAAAAAATTATATATACATCTATACAGAATTTAATAGTTATTGAGTATACAAAATATATATTACTATGACATTATCCAAATTAAAATATATAAACCGTATAAAAATAATAAATTAAACTATATGTATAAATTTCACTTGTAAAATATTATTTTTTAAACAAATTTGTTTACAATATTTTTAAATTGTATATATGTTTTTTAAATTAGTTAAAAAAAAATTAATAAATTTCACCAGCCTTTGTCATTTCCACAGTTTTCACTTGTTAACTTAAATATTTTAATACTTTAATCTATTTAAGTAATATTGAATTTAAGTATATTTTTAAGGTATAATAATTTCAGCAGATACATATGTGTATAAAATTATTTAACTCTAATAAAAAAAAAATCAGAAACATTGAATATATGTATATAAATGTAATTATTGACTTATTATATATTAAAAATGTAAACTTACAAATAACAAAAATAATTTTTAAATTTTGCACTATATACAAATACATGAATTTTTTATACTATATTGTAAATCAATACAAATTATTGCTTATTAAATAAATGTTTATACAAGAAACAATAGTAAATAATACATAAAAAGAATATTATATTTATTTAGATATATATATATATATATTTTAAAAAAATGTCTAGTGACAAGAAATTGTGCATTTAAAATATAAGACTTAATTTGAAATACATTTAAACATTTATTATATATATTTATGTATATGTAAATATATATTTAAACTTAATATTATAAAAACGCTATGCGTCGTTTGACATTAATTTTATTATTCATTTTTCATATTTTTGCTATTGTAAATAAAATTTATAATTTGCAAAAAAAAAAAAAGAAAAAATCAATTTCATATATTATTGCTTTATTTTATTTTTAAAATATATTTTTATGTAATTATTTAAAAAAAAAATCATGAGATCATTGCGTTTTTTGGGAATTGTTATATTTCTTTATCAATTAATTTTTTTTTTTTTTAGCATAAATTTAATTTCCTTCATTTGAACTATTTTCTATACAAAAGATTAGCATTAATTACGTTTTGTTCAGGCAAAAAAAAAACAAATTCTTTAATTGCAACTTTAGTTAAAATGTTGAAAAAAATAAAAAAAAACATGTGCGGAATAAATGTTGAGATATATTAGAAAAATTGGAGAAATTATTAGAAAAAACTTTGGTTCTGGAGATCAATAAATTGAACTTTTAAAAATTCCTTGCGCGCTTATTAACGTAATTTAGAGTTTTATATATACCAAATTTTTTTTTTATTTTGCATTTTTTTAAACTTATTTTAAATCATTTCTCCTTTTTTTATTAGATTCAACATTTTAACACAGAGTTTTTTTTTTACTAATATAAACTTAAACAAATTAGTGAGACCAATTTGAAATTTATTATTTTCAAGGTTTACAAATTTTTTTTAATTTTTATATTTTTTTATGGTTGCATTTGTAGTAATTAATTTATAAATTATTACTTCAAATATATTATTTTATATATATGCATTAAATTTTTTTTATTAATATTAATAAAAAGAATTTATCACAAAAATGGCATAAAATATTTAAACTTATTTTAATATGTGTTTTGAGAATTACACATAAATGAACTAAATAATTAACTAGTTTTGCAATCTTAAATGTTGATATATATAAATTTTTAAAGCATTAAACAAAAAATCTTATACAAAGAAATATGTAATTTTAATTACGTAGAAGACATGATTTTTATACCACAAATTATATATAAATATTAACAGTTTTTATATTGCAAATATGCCAGAGAAATGAATGAAAAAACAAAACTAAAATAATTTGATTTAATTTTAAATCAACAGCACATATAAACAAGAAAAAAATAATATACATAAAAAATAAATAAGTTTTTATTAACTATTACATAAAGAGAATATAAAAAATTATATATAATAAAAACATAAAAACAATACTTCAATTTGTGTTAAAATGGTGGATAAATAATACAACAAATAATTTTAATTATTTTCAATACTTGAATATAATTTATATATAGTTGAAAAAAATTTAATGAAAATAAATTCTTATAAAAAATATATATTTAAAATTATATTTGTAAAGTTTTGAGTCAGAAAAAATATACTGAATATTATTGGAATAAAATATTTCAAGAAAATAATTAATTAATTTAATTGAACCTTTAAACAAAATTAAAATTTTAAATTGTAAAGAAAAAAATAATATGTAATTTATTGTATAGAGTAATAATTGAATAAAAATATTTTTTTTTTTTAAAAAACTCCAAACTGACAATAACTAAACTGTTGTTATATTAAAAATAATTTCCATTTACAAATATTTAATTATTATTAGATCCCTAAAACTTATATTTATGCCATATATTGCATACATATATTTATATTTTATCATATATAATTTTATAATTTTTATAATAAAATATATATTTTGTATATATATTATAAATGATGTTATATTGCAATTTACAAATGATTTTAAATATATTTTGCAATTTTATTTATATAACATAAAATATATTTACGTTTATAATTTTGAGTGTATAATATATAAAAATATTTTTATATAAAGAGCAATTATTTCGAAAAAAAATTCGTTAGTTTTGTTAATAAAGCTTTAAGATTATACTAATAAATTTAGTTAAATTTCCAAAAATATTTAATTTTCACATTTATATATATATATAAATATATATAAAAAGGATTAATAATGTTTCCTATTTTATATTAATATTAATGTTTATATTTATGCATATGTTTTTTTGCTGCCAGTCTAATATTTTTATTTTATTATTGCAATTAAGTATAAAAATATTATATAAAAATATATATAATATTTTTTTTTTATATATAATTTTTGTAAACTGTTGTTTTTTTATATCTTGTCCAATAATTTTTCTTCGTCCAATTGAAGCTCTTCTTCTTTTTTTTTATTTTTTTTTTATTTTATGTTTCACTAACATTTATTGTAAATTTGCTTAATTTGCTATAAGATCCTTCGCCTTTGTGACGTTTCGGTATTTCCATATTTTGAGGGAATTGATTTGACTATAACATTTTCAATATTTTAAAATATTAAAGTAATTCAATTCACTCTCTTCAGATTGATTGTTTTCTAATATCTCCATTTTAACAATTATTCATATTTATATAATAACTCTGTCCTCTCTGTGCTCAACTAACTCATCGTGCTACTAAAAAATCCACAACCCATGGCAAATACAAAAACTGTGACTACTGTGGGCCAGGTGAAGCTCTGTTCCTGAAAAGAATAGACAAAAAAAAGAAACATTAGTATGTTGTAATAGACAAAAGAAAAAAAATTAAATAAAAATTTGATTAAAAATATAATAATAAATATTTAATAAATATTTAATAAAAAATTAAAATTAAAAAATAAATTAAAAATATTAAATTAAAATATTAGAAACCAAATAAAAATTTTTTTTACAGATTGAATTTTTACAAAAATGTAAACAAGTGTTAAAAAAATTAAATTTCTACAAACAATTAAATCTGAATAATTTATTTTAATATAACAAAAATGCATATAAATGATAAATAAAATTAAATAAAGTTAAATTTGCATGAATTCGCTTTATTTATAGCAGAAAATATGATTTTATTGAACATTTGTTCAATCAAGCACAAAAAAAATTGACAGAAGTGATATATAGCTATATGGTATATCCCTATAATGTGTATAAAATAAAGGTCAGAAGAAAAAAAAATGGGCAAATAATTTGTTGACCAGTGTACTGTGGTCAATTGAATGTACGAGGGTAGACATTAGCATGTTTTTATCGAGTTATTTAAGCAATTCAAGTGTAACTACATAAATTTTTTATTTATGCATTTAAAAGGTTACCAGACCAGGAGTTGGAAAAAATATGTAACGTTGGACTTGTTTAGTAAAAACAAGTGTGTTTCCTGTTGCGCCGCCACATAGGAAACAGGAAACTATGGCAAGTCTATTAAAATAATTGCGCTCAGGCTTTGTTGCAATTTTCCTAAAATATAACACGATATTTTATTCTAATGTGAAAGTATGTGGGCCTATACGAATTATATAGGTGCTACACATTTAAATAACAGACCTAAACACCAAATCACAGCTATTAGAGGCGGGAAAAAGAGGAAGAAGTTAGTAATGTTTCAAGAACACGAATAAACGGATTAACATTAATCAAATAAGTTGCTATAGAATCTAATGACACGACGTCTGTTGTTGACGATAGACGCAGTAAACACTCAAGAAGTACGCAACTCATGGATTTCATCGAGTGTCGTACCGTTATCCTGGAACTGCCGCAGTACTAATAAAGCGAATCCGAAGTCAATCAGTAACGTTTCAAGAAACCGAATAAACAAAGACCCATTAATGAAATAAGTCGTAATATAGTCTAATGGTACTACGACTGTTGTTGACAATAGATGCCATCTACGAGACTCACAAACTAAATAAGTACGCAACTGATCGACTGTTATAGTACCGTTATTCTCGAACTGAGGGAGAACTAATGTATATATATCTACAAAAATATATATCTACAAAGAGAGAATAAGCCCAGCGTTTTTTGGTCTTAATCGAACAAATAGAACAACTGCCACGGCTGTATAGAAAAATTAATATTGTATCACTGTAAGTAGCACTAGGAACATCATATAACGCTCAAGCCTTTATCTCTTTAGCTGAATTTGCGGCCATAATTTTTGAATAGCTCAAGCATTTCAATTTATTTAAACCTTGTTCGAAATATCAGAACTCGATCTAGCACTATTTTCATGTATTACTACTAGAGTACTTTAAAAATCAAATATAAATATTTATATATATTTTTTTTTAAACCGTATCAATAAGTGAATTCATGTTATACTTCATCCCTGTTATTGTTATTTTGTTATTATAAACAATTTGCATGTCTGTAACTTAAACAACCAACTATAGCTCAACAGCATAAATAACAGAACACAATATAGAACATAATTTCTTTATGAGTAGTTAACAAGTATGAATTTCATAGTTAAGGGATGGGTGGGTGTTATGGTCAAGGGTGGGTGATTAGATTTACTTGCTTATGCATTACAATAGCATAAACAAAATAATATATATTCCAATCAACAAAACAAAAAAAAAAAGTGCAATAATTCATATCAAGATAATAAAAGCGAAGTGAAAGCAAAAAAAAAAAAAAATAGATACTAAATTGGGGATAATACTCTCTGAGGGGTTCCTGTGTACAAGTTTAATAGTTCAATGGTAACAGTTTAGAGCACACAAAGGTGATATTAGTTTCATCGATAATTGTCAATTGATAGCCTACAACAACAACAAAGTCTACACACATACACATATAAAGTGAACATAATGCATTACTATAGCATTTAAGGATTTATAAGTGCGATTGTTAGTGGGTCTAAGGATAATGGGTCGCTAGAATGGCACACAATTATGTTTGTATCTATCTGTGTGTTCTCAAGGGGAATATTTATTTAGGTTATTATTTTTAAATTGTTTTTTTTTGTTCTTTTTTTTGCTACATATTGATAATAATATTTTTGTGTTGTTTGAATACAAGTGCAGGTTAAGGGGGTTGATGGCTTTGTTTAATGTTCAGATGCGTTTAGTTTTTATACAATATTTTGTTTATTAATTTAATAGAAAAAAATTATGGTGCGTTCAGAGTGTTTTTTTTTTCATTGCGATGCTTTTAGCAATTTTTTGTTGTTTTTTTTTAAATGATTTTTATTTTGTTTGAGGATTATTAAATCTAAAAATTATGTTTTTAAGTAGATTAAATTGAATAAATATTTGAGTTTTATTGAACAGATGCTTTGATAGAGATTTTTATGCCACTTTTCATAGAATTTTTAACCTTTCAGATTGAGGTTATGTTGTAAATAACGTTAAGTAGTTAAAATATTGTTAGAAGGATATGATGTTCGGAGGGGAAGTACATGACGCAGGGTTTAAGATAAGAAAGCAATAAATGTTTTAGTAATGGCATAATATTATATTAGAAAAAAAATTTTTTTTTATTTTTATTTAAACCTTAAAGGAAATGGTAACAAGTAATTGAAAGAATTTTAGTATAAAATAAATTTAATTAATAACAAATCAATATTTAATATATACAATTCTTTACAAAAAGTAAATTTAGAACCATTAAGAGAAGGATGAATTAGCGTAGTGACATATGTAATTAGAAAAAATAATATTAAAAATTTCCTATATTCCATCAATCACTTTAAGTGAGTTTTTAAAGTTATAAAATTCCATTTAAAGAGTTAAAATAATTTTAAATAGATAATAGTTATTTTTTAATAAAAATTTTTGAAATTATATATGTAAAAACAAACAGTTTCATATGGAATCATTGACCACTCAACTATTGCAACACAAATGTTGATTTATAGTGTCAATTGTTGTTATTCAATAATCATAAAAATGCTATTAAATTTGAATGAAAAAAATTTAAAACCTATAAATTTTTTTAAAACTAATAAAAAATAATCTGAATTTTTAAACAAGCCGTAAAAATTAATAATTTCGCAATAAATTTTATGGCTTCTACAATTTAACGCATAAATGCGAGTAGTGCGAATAAAGCCATTCGTCCGGGAGGTCATTAACTCACTTTATGAGTAAGAGGAACTCATAACAAAGCCATAGGCGTATTGTGTCTGTTTTCTGGGCGAAAAAAAAAAAACGAAACGAAAATATCGTGTAAGAAAACTACTTGTTATAATAAAGAAATTAATCGGAAAAAGATACAAATGCATATGACATAAAATAAAAACGTTAAGATATGTTTTCTTATGAATAATGAGTACTTGACATGTAACAAGTGATAAAAATATAAGAAGTAATATATCAACTCCCACAGCAGACACAACAGAGTAATATGAATTTCTATATGAAATGTGATGTTTTGTTTACAAAGTAAATTAGTCGTATTGAAATAAATTACAAAGCAAAAAATTAATTACTAATAATATTACTATATATAAAAGGGACCTTGAAAAAATAATATAAGATAACATAAAAATATTAATAATTTCAATTCCATTGAGATATATCGAATAGAATTGTCATGCAAGACATATGAAAAAAAACAGTGTATAGAGTATATGGACACACAAAAATATAATTTAATTGATTTAACCAGATTTTAACTAAATCTCAGGTCAAAATATTCTTATTCTACATATCACGTTGGTTCAAATATACTACATTTTGGAAGATATGAACTTCTCTAACAAAATGATCAGGTCAATTCAACTAATATCAATTTAACTAATAATTAGAACATATTTTTCTGAGTGGACCAATAGTATAATAGTATTTGGTAGTATTTGGATGATAATGTTTCGCATCGAATAACAGTATTGAGTTTTATTTTCGTAAAATTGTCCCATCTGGAGTAACGAAAATCCACAAGTAACTATTAAAAGAGCATTATATTCACAAAAATTGACTATATGGTTTCGTATTTATGATTTACTAACCGTCAGTTCTAAACGTTACAGCAATATAATTACCAAATTTGGTTTTGGCGTATAAGGATATAGATATGGAAAGTATGTGGTTCTAAAAGGATGGTGCTATAAGGAATAGTGGACATCCTGTTTCCGCATTGTTTAGCAAATAAGTTTCCAAATGTTTATTTTCACATTCCGGCGACGAAAATATGTCAACACCAATAGCCTATAATTTTTCACCTCTAGACTCACATTTTATTGGTGACGTGAATTAGTCATCAATATCCTAATTTTTCACCACTTGATATTTTTTGGTGTGATCTTATTTATACAGAAAATCTTACATTTGTCACGTTATGGCGACTTTAATGCCATATATGTGTCACTAAGTTATCGAAAATTACTTTTAAAAGAATCCAGTACTGTAAAAAGTACCAACAAAGACAATCGAATGATGTCGTTCTCCACTTCTAAGCACAAGATTCAAAAACTATATTGATTTAAAAATTTGTGCGAAAACTCCAGCAGAAGTGTGTATTATATATATTAACATATTATTATTAATATTATTAATATATTATATTAACAGAAACACAAAATGGATAACCCAGTATAACTATAAATAAAAAACCCATCCTATAGTCCGAAAGTCAGATCTCGATGACTTATAAATCTTACTCTTTCAATCTTTTATAAAAAGATGCTAACAATGAGTTAAACGTTCCAGAAGCGGTTTATGATCCATAGTCACCTGTCTGTAACAGTAATCAAGTGCCGCCTACCTCTCCTATCAAGGGTTCAAAACAAAAAACACCTGGTTTTAACAAAAACAACAGAAAGTTAGGGTAGGTTAAATTGACTAGCTACAAGCTATTTACTCATATTATCCGGGACTCAAGAAGAATGTTACTTATCTGAATTACAACAATATTAACCAAAACAACAACAGCAGCAAATTAATTAGATTTACCTGGCTGACTGTAAGCCATGCATAAGCATATTCGTCCCTAACGATACCAGATAGAGTTAAACTTCAATGAAGATTTAATATTAGACAATTTTGTGATTTTAAGAGGTCCTTAAAGCTTTAAATATCAATATCAGAGCTATCATATATTTTTGAAAATGTGTTTTTAGAGCATTACTACACAAGGTCTGGGTGAAAGTTAACCTTACACAATGTTTGAGATACAGTCTCACTTTCATCGAGATCTAGGTTATGAATCATAGTTCTAATACAGAAGCATACTGCTAATAGAGCAATATTGGTCTATTAGTCTATTAGCTCATAAGTCAAGTAACTTAAAATTCGTTTTCACTTTTGCCGAGAGTAAAGAACTTTAATTTTTCTAAGATTGCATATAATTCAAAAATCTGTTAATTAATTGTTTCTAATGTTAGAGATTATGTTATATACAGATTATGTTGTTTTGTTTATTAAGTCTCTACTACAAATCAGTTTTAGAGTTTAAATACTTGACTACTGTTAATTTAATAACATACAATATAAACTGAGCAGTATTTAACAGATTAGTTGTTAGGTTGGTTCATATATTATAACTAAAAGCGTTGATAAAAAGTAAAATTAAATAAATTTAAAATGCTGATAAATATATAAAAATATATAAACATTTATAATTATAAAAATAAGTATATATATGTATATATATGGATATATAAAAATGCAAATTAGCTATAAAAATTAATTGCGCAGTGTTGCTAATAAAATTGCGGCGGTGGCGGCGACGACAGCAACACATTAAGGCGTCAAGTGTCCGTTCTTCGGTCGTCAGTTGTACGACCTTCCGTCCAAGTTGCTATTACTGGTGAGTTTCGATTTCATTAAGTTTTCTAGAAGTGCACACATGTGTCACTTATCTTCAACTTTTCAACAGCAGCAACAACAGGAACAGAGCAACAACAACAGCAACAGAGCAACGGCAACAGCAACAGAGCAACAGAGCAACAGACACGCAATAAAAATTTTAACCGCTGATGTTGTATCTTTTCTTTAAATATTTCAACCGTTCGTTGATAATAGTTCGAGGTTGGCGCAGACTTTAGGTTTACAAACAAAGGATTTTAATTGTGGATTCATTAAGTTTTGATTTCAATTTTATTATTATCATATATTTTTTAGTTTAAAATTGTACAATAAAAATGAGCAAACTTGAAACGTAATTCTTGGCTTGTACGATTGTGCAAGGCAAAAAAGTATCTAAAACGCAGCTTAAAATTTATAAAAATAAAATTAAATGACAAATTTTATGGGTTCGTTTAATTTTGCACCAAACCAACAATAAAAACCTCGAATATAGCGTAAATGCGAGATTCAGTAGATAGAATCTCATAATGTCATAAGATGTGTTATGACTATGAGTTTTACTATTTTGTACTATTCGATTTTAATAAAATAGATAAAAATAGAATATAATTTCTGTTTTTATTTAAAAATACATAACTATTTAGTTAATTATTTAATTTATGAGTTGTTATTAACAACTCAAAAATAGTAAAAATAAAACACCTCTTTATAGGACACTAATTATAGTAATTGATGTTAGTATTTTTTTTAAAGGATTATACCATTTATAGAAAAATCTATTTAATATAAATTTTCTCTCTATGAAAAAATGAAACTCACCTTCTTTTCTGGCTTTGCTTTCTGAACCTCCTTTTTCTTCTTGCGCGGTGGTATTCGTCCATTGAATTCCTGTAGACGTTCACGTCCTGCGGTGAAATTTAAATATCGATCCTCGAACTCATCCCAGCTGGTTTCGTGTTCGCTCTGATATTCGCGTTCATCTTCACCGGTGGATGTTAAACGTGAACTGCAATATACATAAAATCCATTTCTCAATAAAGTATCAATTTTATTTTAATTAATTTTTTTTTTATTCTTATTTACTTGATATAAATGCTATATTCTTATAAGATATTAATTAAATGGCAATTTATGTTAACACTGTCGAGCGCGCGTATTTTAGGAGGCAGTTTAGTATGAAGCAAAAGTATTCGCTTATCTGAATTTTAATTACATTAATAATATTTCTTTAATTAAGAGCACATTTAGAAGTTGAAAAAAAAAATACATAAAAAATATTTTTCATAAATTATTGCAATATTATATTTAGTGGTGAGATAAACAGAAAAAATTTATAACCACACTCGCTACAGTTTTCGGCGGCAGTTTAAGGCAATTAATTCTTTTAAGAAGAAATAATTTACAGCGTATTTTCTATTTCACTTCATTAATAAATAAATAAATTATAAATATAAATATTATAATAGAAATTATTACAATTATTTTTTAACAAATAAAAAAATAAATATCTATAAAAGTATTTATGTATATTTTTATAAGTTTTTGACTCTTACTAGGTTTAGGTCATTTATTTAACACATATAAATGATAAAAAAATTAAATTTATTAATTTTTGTTAACATTTTTTTGTTATATTTTTTAAAAATATATAATTTTAATGAAATAAATATTATTATGTTGAGACTAGTTGAGCCAGTGCATCTGACCACTTTTACTCTCTATTAACTGCGAGGTTTCTTCAAAACCCCTCTTTGCGCCTTGACTAGATTATTGTTTATCACTTCTATAATATTTTTTAAAAGTATAATTAAAAATTAATTAATTAATAAGTGAAATTTTTTTAAAATTTTTATGTATTAAATAAAGGACCTAAGTCCGAAGAAAATCAAAAAACTTATTAATAAAATTGGTCAATAAACAATTAATTATTATAGTACGTTTATATTGCGGTACATTAATTACTACATATACATATTTTATATGTATTTATAATAATATATGAAACTATAATTAATAAATAAATAAATAATGATAATATTACAGTGCTCACTCGAAAATGGTCACAGAGCACTCCTCTCTCATTCTCTTTTAAGAACTCTGTTCACTTTGTAGGTTAGTAAATTTAAAATAAAAAAATTCAACAGCTACATTATTTAGTATTAACGTATTCGAGGGAGCACTGTAATCCATTTATTATCGAGTAAAATTATTTTTGATACTTACCGCCTAACTGAATCAGGATAGCTTCGTTGTAATCTTTGTGTTGTTCCAGTTGCTGTGGATGTTGACGCGGTATTTGTGGCATTTGGCACTGTGGTACTGGAGGCAGCTGCCGTTGAACTTGCGGCAGCCATTGAAGTGGTTGGTGTTGGTGGCGGTGTGTACTGATAATGTGTATACGCTGAGTGATGAAATTGTGGTGCCTGATGACTGGGCATTGGTGGTGCTGATTGTGGTGGACCGCCTGGTGTAGCTGGTGGATGGCGAAAGAAATTCACTTCATCGCCAGCAGCAAAACTCACACTAGTACGTGGCGTACGTGGTGTGCTGCGACCACGTGGAAAAAATATTTCTCCACCATTATAACTTGGACTATGCACTGAATATGAAGGACTTGGTGGTGTGGGGTATTGGAATACAGGTGCACCTGGAAAAAAAAAATAAATTTCATCATAAAATATTACTTCATAATTGAAATTAATATTAAAAATTATTATATATTCTTAGTTTAATAAAAATTTATTACACTAAATTAACAAGACCAAGTTCAAAGGCTTTGTAACCTATATTCTAGTTACGTTAATGCATTTATAAGTGGGTACACCTGTTCGAGTAATCTACGTATCTGATTTCTACCGTTTTAATTAGTGCAGAATTTTTCTGCAAATTCATGACAATAATTGTTCTTTAATAAATTATTTTTGCGTCTCCTATTTGCATTTTCTGCAATTTTCATGTTAATTGTCGCGGTTCCACGTTTCGCCAATAATTAATGCAATTTCTGCATTGCCCGGGTACGTTCGTTGCATATTTAATTTTGAATAATTCAGTCGAGCAATATCGGAAATGCTCCATAGTGTCAACAGACTCACGTGTTGGGCCGTAACTGTGTCAATTTAAATTCAAATAAATTAAATTCTTAACACAATAAATATGTTAATTACTAGTTAATCGCTGGTGTGTCAAGCGGCGAGTGTGGGCGACGAGCAGCGAGCACCGAACGGCGGGTAATTTGTGTAATTTGAGCAACTTTACAAAATCGAAAGCCAGCCAGAACTCATATTTTTGATTTATAAACAAATCATGTATGCTCTAAGCTTTAATTATAGTATTACAAAAGTTGTTAACATTTTGTTTAATTATCTTAATAGGACTTTTGAATAAATAAATTAGTTAATGACACTACATATTTATTCATTTGATTTGTAGTTGAATAGTATATTTATTAGTTATTAAATGGAAAATTTTAACATTGTAGTATTGACATTTATTGCACTTAATTACGAAATATCTGTCTTAGGAATTTTTTTTTTTGGTATAAAAAAAAATAATGTCATTTTGAAAAAGTTATATATTTTAGTAGAGGGAAGGTTTCACAGTGAAGAGGGAAGGTTATTATTAAAAACATAATTTTTTTTTTGAATTAAGTGAATTTTTGGGCTGATCGTACAGCAATTTAGAAATATTTTAGGATTTAATAGTCCAAATTAAATTAATTCAAATTAATAGCATAACTGTAATGGTTGTTAATAAATAAACAATAAAAATTAATATAACTATTATTTAGACTAACGCAATTTAAGTGAAAGTTTGCTTTGTATGTTAACACACATGTCCACTTTCCAAAATTAATAAAATTCGATTACTAATACTTTCAGATCTTAAATTACATGTGTATATCAAAACCAATAGTTGCTAAATATCAATAATAATGAATATTTGACAGTATCCAAAGTAGATGTATGTATTTGATCACCCGATTATGTAATATATTTTACGCTTATCATCTTTTCTTCTGACTTCTTACTTGCCATGCACCTCAAACTCCCTAAAATCTCATATTATACTTCGATGAAAGGTATTCAGATGCTTCCTACACTCCCACCTATAACCGTATCTTTCGCGATCCCGGTTCTAAGGTCTATAAGTATATTACACCTTATACTCCTTGTTGCCCCTATACTTAGATATGGGATTAGATAACCCTAGACTTTTAAGTATTAAGCCTCTTTATTTCAACTTTTCCTATTACTGAAATAAAGTTTCCCACACTGCCCCTAGGGTAAGTTTAGGAGCTTGGTTATTCTTAAGCGGTTGTTTCAGTGGGTTAAGGTCTCACAATGTAACAGTCTATGTTTTTTACATATAAGGGTATAAAAGAAATAATAAAAATAAAAAGAATCAAAAAAAAAATTATTATATTTTAATAATAAGATAAAAAAAATTATATGAAAACAATATAAAATAAAAAATATTAAAATAAGAAAATAAAAAAAATAAAAAAAAGGAAATAAAAAAAAAATTAAAATAAAAAAAAAATTAAAATAAAAACAAAATTAAAAATATAAAAAATTAAAATATATAAAAATTAAAATATATTAAAAATTAATATACTCGCTATTATCTGCTATTTTTTATAGAATAAAAATAAAAATCTCATAAAAATCTTAATTCAATTGTTTTTATTATCTTATAGAATATTTTAATTATAATATAAAATTTAATTTATTTTAATTAAACTATAAAATGTTAAATAATTATTTCAGGTCTCAATATATTTGCAATAATTATAAAATTCAGTTAATGTCAATTAAACAAAACAAATTTTAACACAAATCGAAGATCGAAGACTCAACGCAACACACAAGACAAAATGAAGAAAAAAAAATTATTTATAGTAATTTTCGATTGACCTGGCATCCTTGATCTCAACAACGCGGCTCTGTTACAACTTAAGGCTATGTCAGCTGTTTAAATGTTTGTTTAGGCAACAACTACAATTAAAATAACAACAACAACAAAGATAATTACAGCGTTGGCACGAACATAAGAACATAAGAGATGACTTAAGTAACGAAAAGTTTAATTGAGTCCAGAAGCTTTTGCCATACATAACCTACTAGTGCCATACGTACAATATGAACTGCAACACGATTTGCCACTCCTTTAAAATAGAATTGAATAGCTGAAGCTTAAGAGTTACATTTGTAAAAAACAACAATAACAACAATAATAAAATGCAACAACAACATTTAACAATAACAACAACAGCAAGAAGAATAAAATTGCATACATAATAAAATTTTTTTACTAACAAAGAAACAAGAAGCAAGAAGCAATGCTTCTTGTAAGACATTTGTGAAGCGCGCAAAGCACACGTCAAAATGCTTAACTTAAGCGAGCATTTGAAACTAGTTTGAAACTGCCAACAGCGAAAATAAGAAAAAAAAACATGAAAAAACATTCGCAATAAAATAATAAAAAAAAACAAACTACACAGCAGTAGTAGTAGTAGTAGTAAAAATTACAACAAAAGAATACCAACAACCAACAACAACGATAAAAAAGCATAACAGCTGCCAACAACTTCACGTGTGCAGAGCAAAACAAATTTAACCTTGAAAAGTGACATTAGTAATAACAACAAAAACAAAAACAACAACAACTAAGCATAATACACTCGTATTATCAGCATCATTAATTTGCAATTTTTTTTTTGTTTTTGTCTTGCATTTTATTAGCAAAACAACAAAAACAAATCTTGCTTGTATAAGAAAAACTGAAACAACTGCAAAAACAACAACAACAACAACAGCACATAAGCATAAATGCAACAAATGTAAATTTAATTCCAGCACTTAAATACAATTACATTTATACGAGCAAAAAAAAGTGTAATTTTACAATTGTTTGAGGAACGGAACACAATGGAACGGAATAGATTTATGAAGGTTCAGACGGACAAATAACCAAACAAATAATTTCGGAGTTTTTCTTCGGCTTCGAAATGAAGTCGGTTTATCTCTCCATAACCATTTTTGATTTTTTGTTTTTAATTGCTTAAATGTATTTAAGCAAATAAAGCCAGCCAAGAAGTAATATTTTTTATATTTTATTTATGTTTAATTTATTTTATTTTTTTAATTATTTTTTATTGCATTTATACATTAAAATTGTGTTATTGTACATGCGGGTTGGTCTTGTAGTTTCTGAGAGCGTATGACAAATGTTAGTAGAACTAGTAAATATTTGCATAAATGCATTAATTTAAAATAAAGGCAGAAAAAAAATTGCAAACACAAAAAGAAAATGGTTAATAAACTTCTTTGTTGCTTATAAATGTAGAGCCAAAAAAAAGTGTGATTATGACAAAACGGGGCCTGATGGAAGTAAATTTCCTACGCTTGTAAGAAAATAAGTTATTGACTGATTTTTATTTTTTTATTTAGCAATATGTCTTTATCGACTTACCGAATTTATTTAAAGCCTAACAATAAGTTTTAGAATCTTAAAAACTAATAGTAAAATTAAGTTTTAAAAAAAAAAATTAACTGAAATTCTCTAATAAAATTAATTTTGAACTATCATAATTTCCGTAATCACTTAAGTACTATGAGAAAAATAAAATTCCGAAAAAAATTATATAAAATTTTCCAAAAAAAATCAACTTTGAACGATTATAATTTTAAATCCATTAAAGTACTATGAGATAAACTAAATTTTTGAAAAAAATAATCTAAAGTTTTCCAATAAAATCTACTTTGAACCTTCATAATGTTCGGATCCATTTAGTTCTATGAGAAAAATCAAGTTTATTATAAATATTATGAGAAGAATTAAATTTCGAAAAAAATTAAATTAAATTATTCCTTGATTTTAAACCAGCATAATTTTCGAACCCTTTCAAGGACTATAAAAAAAATCAATTTCGAAAAAAATATCTAAAATTTTCCACTAAAATCTACTTTGCACCTTCATAGTATTCGATTCCATTAAAGTCCTATGAAAAACATTAAGTTTTCAAAAAAAAATGATCTAAAATTTTCCAATAAAATCAATTTTAAACTATCATAATTTTCGGACCCATTTATGTAAGTACTATAATGCATTAGGTATCGTATCTATTTAAATATACAATATCAATGAGATAAAATTGATACATTAAAACAACATCGTGGCTTTTTTGAATAAAAGTTTTTTCTAAGTATATTTTTGTTGAAATATACCCAGAAAGAGGAAGGTTTAAAAATGAAACTCCCTTATAATAAAACTTTTACATTCCATAGAATAGAGAATAACTTTGACAATTAAGTGGACTTGCTTAGGACACACTTTATACAACTTAATTAATAAATAATTATTATTAACTATGTTAATGCTACATAACAAAGAAAATCCATATTCTATTAAACTTTATGAGGGATCCGTTTTTGTCGTTATTATTATTATTATTATTTGTCAGTTATTATAATAATTGAGATCATACGATTTAAAGCATGTCAGATTTTCAAGCTTTAACTTGTCATGTCCATTTAGAGTCTCTTTGGCTGAATAAGTTATGCTGTAAGAAATCAGCTGCATAACTGAAGTAAATATAATGGAAAATATACGAACTACTGAATTTTGATTTTTAACATGAAGATAGGATAAATGTTATAACAGCTAGTACAATCATTGATCAATTACATTATATATCTTTGTAAGCGAAGCATTTAGTGTTCGAATTGAACTTGTGTTGTTTGTGTTTTTTTTGCGCTATGCTTTGTGTGTACTTCACTTTTTCTAAATTCTGCTGTTTACGTTTTGTATGTTCGCCGTACGTCAATGGTTTCACATGGTGGCATGAGTCCTAAGACTGTCTTATCTATTTAATTACCCATTGCACGTTAGCAAAACCAATTAGTAATTTACATAATATATGTAATATAAATAATACGTAAGATATATTAACTTATTACTTCGGTGCTTAAGTTTTATATACATTTAAAATTTATACGTCTCCAATTAAATTATCTTAAAAAAAAGAGACATTTTGATGAGATTATTCTCAACCGCCTAAGTGATGTTTTATTGCAATTGAATTATGAAAAAAAGTGATACTGATTAATTTTATTATTAAAATAACTATGTATGTCAATACATAGTTGTATGTCAACATATTATATTTCAATAATAAATGACTTTTAATGAAATTTTTTTAAACATTTTGATGGCTACATATCATGAAAAAACCAAATTTAAAATTTATTTACAAATTAATAAAAAATATTAAAAATAATAAAATAAATTTATATTACATTATATTATTATATATTATATTATTTATATTAAATTGGGTTTTAATGTGGTATATGAAAAAGAATTTTAGTTGTTGTAGTTCATCACTTTTCGAAACCTCTCTAAAAATTTTTTTTACAATATAGTTTATTTATCTTTTTTATTTAGTTGTAAATTAAAGCTTTTCTGAAAATTATTAAAGAAACATACATATATATTAATTTGTCTTTTATTCAACATATTATTAGTCATTTTTTAACTTCTTCGAGGTTATTACTGTTTTTTATTATTTAATTACATCTAAATTCAAATTATTAATAAATTAAAATTATATAAGAACTAACATTTTTATACATATATAATATTTTAATATATAAATGGTTTTAAATAATTTTTTTTTGCTAATATTTTGAATTTATTCTCACGAAAATAATAAATTTAAAAACTATTTATAATAAACCCACAAAAAATATTTTTTTTTAATTTAAATTAAATAAATGTTATTTGTCGCTATTTTTGAGCGAATGAATTAGTTATAAAAATTTAATTTATTAATACAATATTTTAAAGATAACCCATTAATTAACATAAATAACAATTACCAACCAAACTAACTTTTTTCTTTGTGTGTTTCGCACAGTTGCATTTGTGATTGGTGATTTGCTATATTAAATCTTTGGACTATCGGAAAAGTATCTGAAAATTAAATTCTTGTGTTGATTGTACGACGAGTGCTCACAAAAAAAAAATGCTCAGATGAAATAAAAATTGCAGCGTAAAACAGAAAAACGTGCAAAACGTGATTTCGTAAAGATACATTAAGCATTACTAATGATATAAACTTTAAATATAGAAATTAAAAAGATAAACGTTTAATAAAATTAAATTATTAATAAATCATAAATGAAAATTATGGTTTGAAGCATATAAATATGAATGAGTTATGTGTATAATATTTAAAAGTAATAAATTATTAATTAATAAATGTTTAAAAAGCAATAAGCAATGTTCTCTCTATATAAATCATATATTAGTGTGAGGTTTATATGACATACGACATATTAACAAAAAAAATATAACAAAAATTTTATAATTCACTTCAAAACTAATCATTACAAAATACAATTATGTGTATACTAAGTAAGCGTAAGTATCTAGATACTTTGCGGATCATAAGCAAAGCGCATGCAATTAAAGTAACAAGCAAGCACTTTAAGTTCAATGGAAACACAAACAAAAAACAATTGCCCGTACTTAAATGCACATTGAGACTGTGATTTTGCAAAAGACGCATTACAACTTTATCGCAGCTCTTAAACCAATAAATTCTTGGTAAATCACGTAGATATTTTCTTGACTGGCAAATGTTTCTCGAAAAGTACAGCCAAAGTGTCTAGCAAAATGGCAACAATTGTGCTGACGCAACTGACATTCATCAATCAATGTAAGATACAATAAATGAAAAAAAAAAAATATTGAATACGATTTTTTATTTTATTTTTGTATTAAATTTGTAAGATACTTTATGGTAGTTAGAAGTTAGAAAAAATTATAAAAAATATCTTGTTTTTATTGTTAGAATAATTTAACGCTAAATTACTTGGGGCGTTTGACGGTGATGACGACTTTTTGAATTGCATGCATTCGAAAACCACAAAGTGCCTTTGAGTTAAAAGTTAATAGAATTTATCATTTTAACTACAATATGCATTTTTTATTTTGTTTTTGCATTTTTTCTCTTATAGTTTATAGTTTTTATTTAAATGTGTTACAAGCCAACCAGCAGATTGCGTTCGAAACTTGGCCTTCAGAATTGCATTATTGCAATACGAAAAAATTAAAATTTAATTTAAAAAATAATGCATTCAGAATTTATGAATAAGAATCACAAATAATGTAAGTCAGCGAAGTTAATGAATTGCTTTAAAGGCACTAAATACTATGCGAACCGAGCACTACCAGCAGCAATTCTACTGACTTTATCAGCAAAAATAAGCAGAAGTGAGCAATTGTTGCTGTCGTATGTTATTGTTGTTGTTGTTGCTGTTGCTGCTGCTGGTGTGTTGCTTCTCATATTAGACGGGCAAATGTGCAATAAATTGCATTTATGCATTCAAGTATTTTGCAATTGTCAACAGTTCGCAGTTTGCGTAATTGTTAAAATAATACACTGAATTACATTTTTTTCTTTAATGAATTGTGAAATGACAATAATTAACTATAGATAACACAAATATATTTAATAAAATATATTAATTTAAGCAGAAAGATAAAAAAATATTTTATATATTAACAGAAATTTAAATTGCAATTATACGCAATTTTAAAAAGTTAAAAAGCATTATAGGGTTTAACAGTTGCCAATAGGTAGAAAAAGATACGCAGTTTTGATAGCAATAAAATCAAAAAAAAATTTAAAAATATTGAAAAAAAATGTAAATTAAATTTAAATAAAATAAAATAAACACAAGAAAATACATTATAAATATAAATATAAATTAATATAATATCAATAATAAAATATAAATTAATATAATATTAATAATAAAATATAAATGAATATAATATTAATATTAAGATATAAATGAATATAAAATGAATACTAAAATATAAATTAATATAATATTAATAATAAAATATAAATTAATATAATATTAATATTAAATATCACAGCCAATATGTTATTATTAATATAAAAAAAATATTTTTCAAAAATATGTGCAATATTATTCTTGTGAGTATACGAATCTCCAAAAGTCCAATACATGCAGGAGGTTTGATACCCTACTTGCTTGTGCAAACCTGAAATTTGCCCTACCAAGTCTGCAGATAATCAACCAAAAAATAATTATTTACAAAAATTGTTAATAAAAACTTTCATAGCAAAAGTAACAAAACTTCAGAAAAATATGCGAACAAAAAAAGTCAAGTACGGCTTTGGATCAGTTGGTTAAGGTGCGTTGATTGTGAGCTTCACATTTGGCAGGACCCGAGTTTGAATCCTGGTACTTGCAGTCTCAAAGAAAGAAATAAAAAAAAACAAATAATAAAATACAAGAATTATTTCCAAGACCACTGATGATGGGTATTTGGCAATACTTGAAACAGCTGTACAGTCAGCCAAATATTCAATTAATTAAAATAATATAAAATTAGTTTTTGTTGTTGTAGTTTCACTACTGTTCGAAAAAACTTCTTTACAAAATTATTTTTGTAAATAAATTAAAAAAAAATAATATTAAAATATACAAAAGTATATATTATACTATAATAATATTATAGTAATATATAGTAATCTATTGTATCATAACGGGCTATTATTTCTACTTAAGTAAGCCTTGGTGCACAATGTTGTTACTATAAAGAAACTCAATTTAAGCACAAGTGATATATGGACTATATATTAAACTCAGATGAGAAGTAAAAATCCAAACCTTCCTTCTTTACAAGAAAATTAGCTGAACTATGTTTATTATATAATAAAGGCACTACGATGATTTTTCTTAATAATATTTACGAATTGAAATATTTGGATTAACATAATGCATATCATGTCTAACAGATATATATAGTCTTAACAAAGTTGTAAGACTATATTATTGGACAACAAATAATATGATCCTGACATACTTTCGTTAATAATGTTAAATGCTAACTTTGCAATCGGGTATAAACAACAGCTTTTTTGAGACACAGGTCTCAAATCGATAATACCAAAAGTCAGGAATCATTTTTTTTACGCAGTGTTGGATGGAACCCCAAAAGAAGATTTAAACCGACATAAAGAAAAAAAAAATGATTCAAAAAACACTAACATCATTCGATGACCTACACTCTAAGGATTTTATTGAGAATTTTTATTTAATTTATGAATAAGAAATGTTTGCAACTTTTTCAAATTATGGATTCAACAAATAATAATAATGATGGGGATAATAACAATTATAATTTAGTCAATAGTGTTAATAATCCATAAGAAATTACTTTTATTTTTAATATTTAGTATAGTTTTTTTCGCTTTGTCTTAATTTAAGACTAATATTAAAATTGGCACCACCAAGCAGTTACGGAAAATACTTATTATTCCAAATTAATTGTTTGTACGAAAAATGCTTTTGTGTTCCTTAACAGCACTAAATAAAGATATCTTGCTGCATTTATTTCGAACGAATATATAAATGCATCAAGTTCCGAAAGTAATATCGAGAAAGATAATTTTTTAATCAAAAATAAATAAATTGAGTATACGTAATCTATATCTTTTACAGTTCAGTTACATAACAACGTAGCAAATATTTAAAATTGACAGAGTAACAAACGAAACAACTGAAATACCAGAACAAATCAAGGGATAAATTGCAATTTTAATAGATTTTCATGATGGACTTATTTAAAATAAAACCAGTATTACATATAGCAAAAATATTCACGCTAAGTTTCAGATGAAATTACTTATTTGTTTAATTAAATTATTTTGTTTTTTGTTTTATTTTATAATTTTATTTTAATATATTTTATTTTATTTATTTAACTATATTTTATTTATTTTTTATTTTTTCCAATTTTATTTTATTTTATATCATTTTGTTTTATTTTATTTTATCTTAACTTATTTTATTTTATTTTATATTATTTTATATTATTTTATATTATTTTATATTATTTTATATAATTTTATATTATTTTATATTATTTTACAATATTTTGTTTTATGCTATTTTGTTCTTTATCTTTTTTTTTTATTATATTTATTTTTATATTTTTTTTTTTTTAATTTTTTTTTTATTATATTTATTTTAACTTATTTTTATTTTTGCTTATTTTTTATTATATTTTATTTTATAAATTTAATTTATGTTTTTATTTCATTTGTTTTTATATTTATTTGTATTTTTTTCATATATTTATATTATTTATTTTATTATTTTAATTTAATTTAACTTTATTTAATTTTATTTTGTTTTAATTTATTTGTTTTATTTTATTTAATTTTATTTTTTTATTTTATTTGTTATATTTTATTTACGTTTTTATTTATTTTATTTATTTTAATTTTTTATTTCATTTTATTTTATTCTATTTTGTCTTAATTTATTTTATTTTAGTTTTTGTTATTATATTTTATTTTGTCTTATTTGTATAAAAACCTATTGTTGAACTATTATATAAAAAACTATTATAAATTTATTTTATGTTGTTCTTGTGATTCCATTTATTGAAAGGACTATATATCAACAAATAGAATTACTTTTATATTAATATAATATAACTATAAATAAAGTTTTTTTTTGTGCTATTATAACTAATCCAAAAAACATTTCCTGAAAACAAAAAAAAAATTAAATTCTAAGAACTCAAGTGTTAAAAAACTCATTGAGCAAAAGACGTCAGTAATGTTTTTTTTTGTGCTTAAAATTGGTTAATCACCTAAAAACGGTAATTAAATTTTTTCCATGACTAACTCCACATTTATGGTATAGCATCAACGATTTCCTCAAGCCCCATAAATAACGGACTACAAAGAAACACCAAATTCGGTGTGATGAGTTGTTCTCAGAGATCTCTAGAATTTCAAATGACATCCTTAAATTCGTTCTAGCCTTTTATGGTGGCTAATTAAATTCGTTATGATCGTACAATGCGACAAATTCGTTAATTAATTGTTAAATTTTCAGAACTAAAACGATTGAGTTCATGAGTAAAAATCATGGCCAAAAAGATTTTTACTTCCTTCGTTCGCTTTGTTTCACCAATTTTGGTTTGGTGTTTACGGAATGAACACTACATTTGGTTCCAAATAGGATACATCACGTGATCATTTAGTTTGGCCGCGTCTATTGCTAATTGTTGACATTTGACAAAAAAAAATTGTACAAATCAAGCGATCGATTGCAATCAATTAAAATTTAAAATGCATTTGACACCATTTTTGGGATATTCGTGTTTTTATTAATTGCTTCCAACACTGAAAGTGTCAATAGATCAATCGGACTTTTTTTATTCACTGCCAACTTGTTAGCACGAGTATCATTTGTCATTTTTGGATAAATATCCGAAATATGGTTAGACAGGCTGGCAGACAAATAGACTTTGATGTAGTTAAAATCTGACAAGTATAAACAATACGACAGTATATCAATAACAATGAAATATATATGGATTAACTACATCTGGCATAACCAAACATTACTCAAAATGGCGTTTCACAGTTAGATGTTGTATATATCAATATAACAATAGATTTTTTTGTATTTACCTTATATTAATATGTTTTTAATGTTTAAATAATTATTAAAAAAATTATTAAAAAAATAAATACTTCCAAGAATTTCAATAATATAATACTAAAGCAAAAATAACAGCACTAACACTGTGACGTCATTTTTATATATCAAGTTTCATGAGAATATAACCAAAACTTGGTAAATGTGTAGATAAGTTTATTAAAGTCAAGTGAGACCATATCAAAAAATAATATATTAACAACAAGGAACCTATTCATTCACTTTTATTCCACGAACTTTGTGACTAATCTAGTATAATAGTTTAGTTTAGATTTTAGTTTAGACTAAAACAGCGATTAGATTAATACAATTGAAAAATATATTAGTTTAAAAACAATATAAAGACATGGCACGTTTCTTATTTATTAGACACGTCCATTTAACAACGGATTATAGTAAAGACACTTATTTTGAACAAAGTTTTCCCCTTATATGTCAATTAAGTATATTTTTCGAGATAATGGGTGTTAAAGCTGAACAAAAATCAGATCGCACGTTTACTTTTTAATACTTTGTGTAATCAATATAAAACTAGTGTATATAACGTAAAAGTTAATAGTTGATATAAGATGTAGTAGTAGTAGTAAAAGAATAGGCGATAAAAGATATGTGCAACTTTTTTAAGTACAATTAACGCTATATATCAGAAATTTAGTTATATTACGATATAACAAAGGAGCAAAAATTGTTAAAAAAACAGACTCTAACATAACTCGTTTTTAAGTTAAAGATTAGTACAATTAATGCGATATCACGGAAAGTTAGTTATATCGCTATATTATAAAACAAA